CTCTCTCTCTCTCTCTCTCTCTCTCTCTCTCTCTCTCTCTCTCTCTCCCCCTCCCTCTCCCTCTCCTTCTCATGAAAAATTGGATTATTTTACACACATATTTTAACAAAATTTTGGCATCATTCTTTTTTGTGTAAATTATTTCTTGGAAATTTTTCTTTCCATTTATCCAAATTTTTAATGATAATCTTATTTATATAAAAATCGAATAAGTTGTTTCTCTCGTTTTAACTGCAGGTTATTGCAAGAAAACTCCAATAACTTTTTTATCACTCGCGACAGTCACGAAAGCTACGAATTGAAGTGACTGTTCACATATAATATGTGAAATAAACAACTTATCCTACATAAAAAAATAAATTGTTATCAAAAAATAATACACATCGTGGCAATTAAACCCATCCTCGAAAAATTAATAAAATTTTTGAAAGATCGGTAACGAAAAACTAATACAGTTTATAACACTTTCCGAGAAATTCTACCTCTGTTTTATATACAATTATTTAAGATTCGATCAATTATTTCCCGAAAAATTCAAAAAATTTCTGATAACAATTTCCAAAAAGATCGGTAACGAAAAATTATACACTTTATATCACAAAATTCAATTCTTTGAAATTCGAGCAATTAATTCCCGAAAAATTGGAAAAATTTTGGTACCAGTTTCCAAAAAGATCGGAAACGAAAAATTATACACTTTATATCACTCCCCGGAAAATTCTATCCCTGTTTCATATATAATTCTTTGAGATTCGGTCAATTATTTCGCGTAAGAATTAAAAAAATTAGAAAAACCGGTTTCCAGAAGATCGGTAACGAAAAACTATACACTCTATAGCACTCCCCGGAAAATTCTACCCCTATTTTATATGGTTTTAATACAAATCCGGTCCAATAGTTTTTAAGTTAAAAACGTTCAAACATACACCACTTGTAAGAATTAAAAAAATTAAAAAAATGGGTTTCCAGAAAATAGATAACGAAAAACTATACACTCTATAGCACTCGCCGGAAAATTCTACCCCTCTTTTATATGTTTCTAAGTTCTAATATAAATTCGGTCCAATAGTTTTTAAGTTAATAACGTTTTTTTTTATTTTTCTATATTATTCTGTTTACTATACTATTATATAAAATCCTTACGGGTGGTGTATGTTTGAACGTTTCTAACTTAAAGCTATTGGACCGAATTTGTATTAAAACCATATAAAATAGGGGTAGAATTTTCCGGGGAGTGCTATAGAGTGTATAGTTTTTTGTTATCTATTTTCTGAAAACCGATTTTTTTAATTCTTTTACCCGTAAGAATCAGAAAAATTAAAAAAATCGGTTTCCAGAAAATCGGTAACAAAAAAATACACACTCTATAGCACTTCCCGGAAAATTCTAGCCCTATTTCATGTACTTGTGGTAAAAATTCGGTCCAATAGTTTTCAAGTTATTAACGTTCAAACATACACCACCCGTAAGGATTTTATATAATAGTATAGTAAACAGAATAATAAATTTCTTTCGCCAGTATATAGAATAACAATTAAAGTAATTTAAATCGACCGTGACTGGCAATATATAACGTCTTTT